CTAAGCTAACTGCCCGAACCTCGATGGCTTGGCCGAGCTCCAGGTCAAAGGTGACCACACACGCGCACTCGAGCCACGACGAGAAGCGGGCCCACGGACGGCGCCGCTCCACTTCTTCCAGGTCCGCCGGGTTCATGACGACCGGGCGAGCGAGCGAGCGAGCGAGTCCACACCGCACCGGTCCCAACTCCCGAGGCGAGACGAAGACGGGCGGTCCGAGGCGACGGGGCGCCCCCTGCCGGAGACAACCGCGACAGCGGCGGACGCCTTCGATTGAATATTTGAATGCTGAACCTGCAAAGAAAAGCATCCATTAAAAATAGGGATTCGTTACTTTAGCATGGTTAGCAGTGACCATGCGAAATACCTTTTACGTTTCAAGAAATATGCTCACTTAATCTGAAGTATTACAACTGAACAGGTGCGCGATATTTTTGTGAAAATAAACCGTTTGAAGCGTTTTGACGTTTTTTGTCCTCGGCTGGTCCGTGTGTTTGTTTGAAGACAGACAAAACAAAAGAACTGAAACGTCGCCCTCGAGCCGGAGTTGTCGGTGGTACGTCGGATTGTTTTAGTTTGAAAAGCCGTCGGGCGGATGTCCGCGTTCCGGCTTATAAAAAGGCGGTCTCGCCTACCGGTGGGTTCAAGTTCCATCGAGAAGGCGGACAAACGAGTATCCGGCATGTCCACGGATCCGTCCTCGTTCGCTTCGGCCGCCAAGTGCGTGAGCCGCCACCTCAACTTGAGCCTGCGCGTCGACTTCGAAAGTCGCGTGATCCGAGGGAAGGTGGCCCTCACCGTGGAGGTCCTGGAGGAGCGCTTGTCATCGCTGGTAAACGTCGCGTCCGGCTGCTCTGTTAGCCTGCGGGCTAGCGAATAGGAGATAACACTTTATTGGCCTGAACTTTGACACGAGCTCGTTTGGGAACACTTTGTCGAGCTCAAAAGCTTGAAATTACATTTTAAACAGACTCGTGGTCATTTGAAATCATAGTCCCAATCTACAAGTATGTGTAATATATTTGTAATAAATATAATGAATAAATATTTTGGTGATTTATGATCAAATGACAATGCCATAGAAGCATTTGAAAAATCTATATTCGTTTTTTTAATGCATTTCCTTTAGCGACAGGACTTGGATAAGTCAACATGAAATTGATTGAGAAAAAATAAATGGCCTAGATGTTGATTGATTTTTTTTGAGGGTGCAACTGCCACTCTACCCCACTCTCGACCCCCACATTTTAACTTTGGGAATGCGAGGAGGAGTCGTCGCGAAAGTGAAGCGAGAGGAGTTTCCGTTTGCCTCTGTTTTTCGGAATCTGCCGCAGACTTTGGACACCCTTTTCAACTTTGGGAATGCGAGGAGTTTCCGTTTGCCTGTTTTTCGGAATCTGCCGCAGACTTTGGACACCCGAGACCTGAAGATCGTCTCCGTGGACGCCAACGGGCAAGCGGCCCGCTTTACGATGGGCCCTCCGCACAGCTTTAAGGGGACGCCGCTGGAGATCACGCTGCCCTTTGACCTTTCCAGGTGAGCCCTCGCCTCCGTCGGGGGAATCGGCCACGCGCTGACGATTGAGCTGTGATCAGAGGTCAGCACGTGATCGTGGAGGTGACTTACCAGACCTCGCCCGCCGCGCCGGCGCTGCAGTGGCTGACGCCCCAGCAGACGGCGGGAAAGAAGCAGCCGTACCTCTTCAGTCAGTGCCAGGTGAGCCGTTGGGCCGTTGGGCCTTGCTCCATCGTGCCGACAGGCTGCTTCACTTCCCTCTTGCCGTCCTCTCTTGCGACTTAACCGTCGTCTCGCTTCCCATTTTGTCACGGTTGCCTTGTGGACCGGCGTTATGATGAAAAGGCTTGCTTGCGCCCCCCCCCACAGGCTCATCACTGCAGGAGCATGCTGCCTTGCCAGGACACGCCAGCCATCAAACACACGTACTACGCTCAGGTCAGCACGCATGCCCGCACCCACCGACAAGTGACAAGCAGACTGATGAAGTGACAGACATGCAGACATGCAGTGGCGTGTGTGTGCGTCTCCCTGGCAGGTGTCAGTGCCCAAAGACTTGGTGGCAGCCATGAGCGCCCTGCGCGACGGTCAGGACGTGGACCCGCAGGACGCCAATCGCGTGATCTACCGCTTCAGACAGAACGTAACGACTCTCGCTCCTCCTCGGCTTCTTATCGCACAAGCCGTGATCGCAGCGGCGCCTTGCGTCCGATTTGCCGCGTGACAGTGGCCCAAATCATTTGCTTCCACTGAAACCAACGCAAACGGCCTTCACGGCCGTTGTCGCCGGGCGGCCGCGACCGCCTGAAGTCAACTGAGGCCCTTTGACCTTTCCAGGTCGGGAAAGAAGCACCGGGCCCGCGCAAATTTCTTTCCAAAACGTGTCGTCGGCACGGCCTTGCCAGTCGATCAATATTTGGAGCGTTTCCCCGCTCGAATCGATCAGCGGTCGCCGAACCTTTTAGCGCGCGTCCGATGCAATCTTTGCGGAACGGAAGGGCCCGAAAAGGGAATTTGTGAGAGCGCAGAAAGTTGCCGCCGTAAATCCGAAGCGTCTCGGGCCCCGGCTGCATTCTTGCGACTTTGGAGTGTATTTTTTCCCCGTGAGCTCAGGTGGCCATGCCGTCCTACCTGATCGCCTTGGTCGTGGGCGCTCTGGAGAGCAGGTAGGACGTGCGGCTCGGCGCCCGGGTCGGCGCTCGGGCGCGGCGGGCCGCTGACGCGCGCTTCTTGCAGGCAGATCGGGCCCCGCTCCAGAGTCTGGTCCGAGGCGGAGTACGTGGACCGAGCGGCGTTTGAGTTCTCCGAGGTGCGTTGCCCGCACGCCGCCCGCCCGCGCAACTCTGCGGCTCACGCGGCGCGCTCACGCTCGGCAGACGGAGGCCATGTTGAAGACGGCAGAGGAGCTGGCCGGACCCTACGTGTGGGGGAACTACGACATCCTGGTGCTGCCGCCGTCGTTTCCCTACGGCGGCATGGAAAATCCTTGCCTGACCTTTGCCACGCCCACACTGCTGGTGAGCGAGCGAGCGAGCGAGCGCGTGCGGCGCGCGCACCCGATGGCGCGTTTTGATACGTTGACCTTGCGCGCAGGCTGGAGACAAGTCCCTGTCCAACGTAAGTGGATGGCACGTCCCCCCGTCGCGTCGCGGGGAAAGGCGTTGATGCGGTCCTCCTCCCGTCAGGTGATCGCTCACGAGATCTCGCACAGCTGGACGGGGAACCTGGTGACCAACGCCACCTGGGAACACTTTTGGTAAGGCGCCGCGTCGCCCGCCCGCCCGCTCGGACGCCGCTCATCTCAGAGGCCTTTTTGCGTTTTGCGCGCGCGCAGGCTGAACGAGGGTCACACGGTGTACCTGGAGCGGATGATCGGCGGTCGCCTGGAGGGGGAAGCCTTCCGCCAGTTCAAGGCCACGGGCGGCTGGAAGGATCTGCAGGACTCGGTGAGAAGCCGAGCGCCCCTCGGACGCCGCGGACGCCGTCCTCACGCCTTTTGCGTCGCGGCGCAGGTGAGCACCTTCGGAGCCCAAAACCCTCTGACCAACCTGGTCCCGAGTCTGCGAGACGTGGACCCGGACGACGCCTTCTCCTCCGTCCCGTACGAGAAGGGCTTTGCTCTTCTCTACCACCTGGAGAGCCTGCTGGGCGGTCCCGGTAACTCGGGGCCTCGCCGCCGCCGCCGCTGCCTGCGCCAGCCGCCGTCCTCGCCGACGTCTGGAGTTGTGCCGTTTGCTTGTCTCCTTTAGAAGTCTTCATGGGCTTCGTCAAGTCCTACATCCAGATGTTTGCCTACAGGAGCGTCACCACGGCGCAGTGGAAGGACTTCCTGTTCGCCTATTTCAAAGACAAGGTGAGGCGCGGCGGGCCGTTGGTCTTTCCGCCGCGAGGTGCACTCGACACACGCCGCTGCCGCTTGCCTCCCAGGTGGACGTCCTGAACGAGGTGGACTGGGACGCGTGGATGTTCACGCCCGGGATGCCGCCCGTCAAACCCGCGTGAGGAGCCGTGGCTGGGGGGGGTTTTGCGAGGCGAGCGCCGCCCTCGCCTCGACTCGCGACTGACCGACGCGCCGCGGCCTCTCCTTTCAGCTACGACAGCAGCCTCGCCGACGCCTGCATCGCTCTTTGTCGCCGATGGATCCAGGCGAGACTCGGGCGGCGCGCCGCACCACGCCACGTCTTTGGTTCGGATGCCGCGCTCACACGGCCGTTGCGCTTCCCTTTCCAGGCCGCGGAGCGAGACCTGAGTGGCTTCGGCGCTTCGGATGTGGCCAAGTTGTCGTCCCACCAGCTGGTCGAGTTCCTGGCCCTTCTTCTTCAGGAGGTAACGCGGGCTTAGGGCTTCTCTTGCCAGCGCTCGGCGAGACCGCGGCGTCCGTACCGACCGGGACTCGGCTTTGGCTTTCGGTGCCGGCTGCTCTTTTTAGGAGGCGCTCCCTTTGAGCCACGTGAAGAGGATGCAGGAGGCGTACGATCTCAACGCCTGCATGAACTCGGAGGTCCGCTTCAGGTGGGCGGCCGCCCGTCGGTCGGTCGGTCGCTTCCGAGCCGGCTCGCCGTGACGGTCCGCTCCGCTCCGCGTCCAGGTGGCTGCGACTGTGCGTTCGGTCCCGGTGGGAGGAGGCGGTCCCCGCGGCGCTGCGAATGGCGACGGAGCAGGGCAGGATGAAATTCACACGCCCCCTCTTCAGGTAGCGCGGCGCTCGCTTCGGGTCGGGCGCTCGGGTCCCGCCTTGCGGCCACGTTGCGCTTTGCTCCGACAGGGAGGTCTTCGGCTTTGACAAGTACCGAGAGGAAGCCGTGCGAGTGTTCCTGGCTCACCGCGCCGCCATGCACCCGGTGACCTCCGGACTGGTCGCCAAAGACCTGAAGGTGTCGGCCGACCAGTAGGACGCGGACGGGCACGTCCGTCGCCCCAAAAACCATCACGGCATGGAAGGGAAAATAAAAAAAACACTTCTGTGTGAAATGCGCCGCTTTCTTCATTTCCAGGAGCATGTTCCTGTTTTTTGGGGGGGGGGGGGCCACTTGAGGCGATGCGCAACTCGCTGCACGTGTTGCAAAAAGATTTGCACAGGCAAGCGACGAGAGAGGGAGAGACTTTTTAATGCGCAAAATCAAGCGGCTCACAACAATAGCCGTCGACGCGCTCTTTCCAGCCCGCTTGCGTTTGAGGCGGCGCCGTTCCGGCTCACCAGCCAATGATCACAACGCAGATTCAGCCCGGATTCTTTTTCACCCGGCAAAGCGGGTTGCGGCTCCTCGCGAAGAGGCGGCCGATGGGCGCTTTGGGGGCCGTTCAGCACGCCGCTCGCTTGTTGGGAGGTCAAAATCGGGGGTGTGGCAACTTTTTCTTCTTCTTCGAGAAGGAAGGAGCAACGCTCGCGGTCACCCGGCGCGTCCCGAAGTCGACCTCGGGCTCGGGCACCGAGCGCTCGCCGGCTCAGGCCCGGGCCTGTCCGAGCACGGCGGCCCGCAGCTTTCGGTCTTGCCGGCGGCCTTGCAGTCGCAGCTCCTCCAGCAGAGGCACCAAAGCTCTCCTGCGCTCCACCACCTCCAGCATCTCCTCCAGGACGGCGCGCTCCCTCGCCAGCTCCCGCTCGCCCTTCAGCCGGTCTGCCGCAAGGAAGTCACGCTGCGCTTCAACAAATCCATTTTCGCTCAGGACGCGCGCCTCACTTTTGGGTTTGCCATTTCAAAAAAGACTGTTTGGACAACATTTTGCGTTGAGTGCTGCTGTCGCGCTCTCCCTCGGTCAATTTCGTATTTCAATGCGTTTGCGTTGTTTGAAAAGCGAAGCGGCGCAAAATGTGTCTCGGGGGAATTTCACTTGGTGCGGCGCTTTTGAACCCGAGCCCCGTGACGAAGGGTCTTGCCCGTGGACAGGACGTGGCCCCTTTCCGTAGCGTGGCGCAAATGATCGGAATCATTTTGGGAGCCGATCAGACAATTCTCTGAAATGACGGAGAACATCTGCCAAACTGTGGCACGCCTCACCGTTTGAGTTGCGCCGCGTCACTGCTGTCTGTTCCCCCCCCGGCCTTGACAGAGCCCCAAATCTCACCCGAGACCTTGCGACGCGTTTCTTTTGAACGCCGAGGCCGTCAACGCGCCGCAGTTTTTTTTTTGCTCACCTCGCGACGGAGGGAAGACGAGTCAAAAGTCGCAATCGGTTTGTCGGACGCAGCCGAGCGGCGTCGCAAATGGCGCCGCGTCAAGAAATGAATGTGAAGCGGAGGGAGGCGGGGGCCCGGCCCACTCACCGTCCAGCGTCATGCTCTCTCGAAGCTCCCGCTGGAGTCGGCTCTGTCGGTCTTCCAGCTGCAGCTCTCGTGCGCTGAAGCCGCAAAAGGTCAGAGGTCAAAGCCCCGCCGACCCGGCGAGCGGACGTCGGGCCTCACGTACAATACCATGAGCTCCGACTCGTACCGAACCAGGATGTTCTTCTGCTGGACCAAGCCGAACCAAAGCTGCATGAGGCCGTTGCTCTCGTCGCCGCAAGCTCCTACGCCGCACGCGCGCACAGCACACGCACAGCACAGCGCCCCCTTGATGTCGTGCTCAGACGGCGCCACGCGGACATGGGCGCAATCGGGGCCCTCACCGTTCCCTCGCTGTTGTCCTCTGAGACTCCTCTCCAGCGCGACCCCTCTGGCCTCCAGACGTCGCTGCTCCTCCTCCACCAGCTGCAGTTGCCTCTGGATCAGCTGACGGGGGGGAAATGAAAAAGCCCGGCGTGATCGGGCTTCGTACGCATTCCTTACTTGCGAATCGCGAGACGTTGTCTGCCCGCTCACGCCGCAGACCTCGACGCTTCCGAAAATATTCCCGGTAAATCCCTTCGCGGTGATTCGGGAGAGGCGGGCGGTCGCCAATGAGTGCCAAGGCAGCGACCGCGTTGGCCACAAAAGGGATTTTTCAAAAAAGTAAAATTGTTTTGAGGGCTCCATTCACGCATCGCGAGGGACGTTGCTCTTGCGGCGGCCGGGCCTCGTCCGGTCCCGGTTCTCGCCAAAGGAGTTTTCCTTTCCGATGCTATCCGAACGAGACCACCCGGGAGGACGCGACGGTCGGATGGCTTCCAATTCTTCCCTCGGCCCACGACGACCGCCCAACAAAGGACAAGGAGGGAAGGCGCCGTCGGCCCTCGCCGTCCGCTTCGGCGCGAGCGCGGCCCGACGCGTTCCGGAGCCGGCGCAGGCGAGGTGGCGGCGAGTCGCGGGACTCACCTGAGCTCGGTGCAGCCTCT